TGTTCATGGTTTATTTGAAGGTAACATCTTGCCGTTCGTTGACAGAGACTGATGAATTTCACGAAAATATGACCAAGCGAGACAGCAACTCTGCCGAGATTCGAAAGGAATACTCCCCAATACAAGTATAGGACGCTATTGTACCACGGCACACTCGATTGGTATAAGGGATAGTACTAATTTAAAATTTGAGGTTCTCACAGCAGTAGTAATGAAGAATACTACTTTCTTCGACATGAGGCCGTGTAGCCCGTTGAAAGTCAGCACTGTTTCGGAAGAATATATCGCCTCCATCTTCAAGAATGTGCTGGCCAACTTTCTGAGGTTGATTTATTGCTTGGCTTATTCTTCTACCCTGAAGATAGAGGGAGAATGTTTCTCCGGAACATCGGTTGATTTTCAACGGACTACATGGCATTGTATTTCAGTAGATAGTACTCTTTATATGTACCGTGTTTTCGTAGGTTTATTATAATTCTGTTTACTGTTTTATTAAGTTGAAACTTGATAGTTGTACATAAGGGAGGAACATTAATTCAGGGCGCTTGAGAACAGGTAATTGAAGGGAGAGAGAGAATGTATTTGGAGGCTAGAGAACGTCACACGACGAGGAACTTCATAATTTTCGGTCTTCTCCAATTATTATTTTGATTGTACGTGTATTAGGGATGACAAGAGGGTTCGGACATATAGCAGGCGTGAATTAGCTGAGAACTGAATAAAATACGAGTATTCTCGTTAGGAAACTCGAAGAAAAAATGCTTGGAAGACTTTTTCTTTGGAGAATCATTACTTTCTTCAAAAAATTCTAACAAGCATTGGCGACGGATTTGATGACGTGGAAGAAGAAACAGCCTGAATTCCTATTCTGTTCTCTCTGTGTGCCTGTTGGGTTTGTTTGTTGTCATATCCACCGAAGAAGGAACTCAATTAAAGAAAGTTACAACGAGTAGGAGTCTTGTTTTCGTGTGCTGTTTTTCTTCATCCATGTGAACTGTCAGATCCGTGAGCAGACTTTTCTTACTAATTCCATCTGCTGGAATTTTTCCTTTGCATCATTTCTTAAAGAAATATCTGCCACAACTGTAGACCCAAGTTCAAACGCGAAAAGAAGTTGAAGAAGAAGAAGAAGAAGAAGAAATAGAAAAATAATGAGTGGGAAGAGTAGCAGAGAGCTCTTATGATTGATGGACACGCTGCAAGCCTACTTGTCATAAGCCGGTGTTAGGTTTGGGTCAGCGTCTCAACCGCACTTTTGCTGAATTTAAAGGGATCGATCTGTTTAAGTTTCATTAAGTGTATCCTGTGTTTGAGTTCTGGATTATTTATCCGTGAATTAAGTATTCATAACGTTGGGTGGTCCAGAAATAAGTTAATAAAATGCACACTAAAATAATTTAGACATGTCCTTATTTCTTACTGAATTTACAAAAAGTTACTCAAATTGAGATACTCCAGATCGCCTCTGTGGTCTAGTGATCACAGTTCCTGGCTACAGATCCAGAGGTCCGGGTTCGATTCCCGATGCTACCAGATTTTCTGAGAAGTAGTGGGTCTGGAAAGGGGTCTACTCAGCCTCGTGAGGATAATTGAGGAGCTATTTCAAGGAAATAGCAGCTCCGGTCTAGAAAACAGAAATTAACAGGCGCGGGGATTCGTCGCGCTGACAACGCGACATCCTCTATCCGCTACAATTGGCACTAAATTCGCCGACAAGTGACGGTCGCTCGGTCGGTATAGTTTGCTTACGGACTAAGGCCACAGATTTTTTTTTAGTTTTTTATGAGAGATTTCAGGCTCAACGCACAACCCATAAAGTTGTGTTACCTTTCTACAAATTGACTCTCAGGTTTATATCTGAATATGAGGAAACGTTTTAGGGTAAATGGTTTCTAAGCCCTCTGCAGTATGTAGCGTCAAACGATAGGATATATGTGAATAGTAAAATGGCAAAAATACTGAAGAAAACGGTTTTCTTCCATTTTAAAGAACTAACCCATAAATGATATGGGTCAAGTTCGTCAAACGATATTAATTAGCGTGCAGAAATACTACGAAGTGAATACACACAAAGGGAAGTATCATTCTGGGGGTATATAGGGACATATTGTCAACTTCATAGGTTGTAGTGTCTCATGACTGTATATTGTAGCTTCACAGTGGAAGAATGTAAAAGGAAGCAATCGGAAGCAATCATAGTGTATCTCATCCATTTTCGATATTGTAGATGAATCAGAAAATGCTCTCTTTCTTACATTCACAAATATTACTTAAGCCTTAATATTTAGCCTACTTTCGTTATTTAAAAAAAAGGCTTATGAGATTACCTTGCTGTCTGTGGCTGTGTTTCTGTCTATGACTCACCCTTTAATTTTTGAAAAAATTAAAAAAGCTTATGAGATAACCTTGTTGTCTGTGTGCCTATGTATTCTCCCTAATTCTTTCGTGTTCTACATGGTCCGTGTCTCATCAAAGGGAAGTTGGAAATTAGATCTTCTCAGAACTTCTTGTACATATATTTTTTCGTTTCTAGTCTCGTCTTCTTTTGATATTTTGTTTCTTAAATTATAGCTTGTCTTCCATCGTATTCCTTTAATTTTCTTCGCTTAAGTCCATGATTTATTTAAACCGTCTTGCAGCGCATACACTCATTTATCTCCTTATCTTCCTCGCACTACATGTTTCGGCATAACAATGCCATCTTCAGGTGCTTACTTATCCACGCTAAACCAGTTCATTGCATGCCTTGTTCTCATATTAAAATAATCCAAATATGTATCTATCATATACATTGTCAAACGTTAAAAATATTAAAATTGTTCAGGATACCACATCGCTATGTCGCCCTTCACTACGCCAGTCACGCTCATTCTCCTCTGTTGGAGCACTCCTTCACTGTCTTGAGTGTGTTGTGCTTTTGTTATGTCTTGCTCCTGTGACTGCGTGTGTTATACTGTTGGGCCTCCTGGGTATGTGACTGGCGTAGTGAAGGGCGACATAGCGATGTGGTATCCTGAACAATTTTAATATTTTTAACGTTTGACAATGTATATGATAGATACATATTTGGATTATTTTAATATGAGAACAAGGCATGCAATGAACTGGTTTAGCGTGGATAAGTAAGCACCTGAAGATGGCATTGTTATGCCGAAACATGTAGTGCGAGGAAGATAAGGAGATAAATGAGTGTATGCACTGCAAGACGGTTTAAATAAATCATGGACTTAAATCAGTGCAACAGGACGCTAAAATATAACATTTTTCTTCGCTTATTTATAGTTTTATGCAATGTTTCATTTACGTAGCTGTATTATTATTGACATAGACTTCAACATAAACCGAATTATTATTATATAATTTTTCATTGGGATGTGGAATAAGCCCTGAAATAAATGAAGGACTGAACTGAATTATAGCCAATATTGTAACTGTATGAAGCTTAAAGCGGATAAAACAAAACTTATTTACTTCTCCATGAAAACGGATAAGCTGGCTCTAACATTGTCCGTTATAACGCTGGAATAACGCACACAGATTGTGTTAAAGTCTTTAGTGTTTTTCGTGACAGTAGACTCTATTTCCATAAGCATAATTATAATTCATTTTTTTATAACACGCGGTTGTTAGGCCTGATACGATCTCGGTTTCGATTTCTGAAGTCATTGAATTTTTCAATAACAAATCCTTCCAGCCACACTATGGCCCTTAAGTCGATTCAGCCTGTACCAAGAATATTCCTGGGGTAAAGGGAAGCCTGCGCATAAGGCTGACAACCTCACCGCCATCTATGAGCCGATTGTCTAGAAAAAATGTGAGAGCCTCGACGTCTCTTAATCCTATGGACCTCCATGGAGTAATACAAGGAAAATTCAACGTTTTTGCTTCATCTCATTACTCGTTGATGCTCTACATCTGTCTGGTTAAAATAAAAGATGAATATATTTCTCTTGACTGGCATTGCCCTGCCAACACTGTTTTCAGGAAACTGTAAGGTGTCCAGGGAAAGTTCTGTATCGAATTTTATAACGGATTCTGTAAAGTAAGAACATAAATTTGCGATGTAACAGGTTAACAGAAAACCAGATATTATTCTACAGAATGGTTTTATTGAGACATAATTTAGAAAGCTTATTTATAACAATTTATTATCTGACCTCTTCCCTTTCAGAAACTGCTGGTATCAGAGTTCCAGCCAGAAACATTAGAATCTTTAATATATTTCTATTTCGAGTTCACGTAATACCCCTAAATGTCCCTCTCTTGGCCGGAAAAACCTCATATTAAATATGGAAAAAGACATAATATATTGATAGTTGTTTCTTTAACATTAAATTCTGTAATAGTTTATTAATCGATAGTCACTCTATTTTCTTGTTTTCGCCACCATTTCGAAATTATGTATCTACTAAGCTCTGGGTTGTCTTATATGTTTATGCATTTTTCTTTCATATTTGCTTGATTCTGCCAACTCTGTGATTGGCTCATGTAACTGTTTTAATAACACCTGAAAACAAAGAAAAATTAATTTTTTATTATTGTTGTTGTTGTTGTTGTAGTTGTTGTAGTTGTTGTTGTTGTTGTTGTTGTTGCTGTCGATTCCGCTGGGGTCGTTATTTTGTTTCCGTTTCTTTTCTTCTGTTTTCCCGTCACTTTCGCCCTATACGTAATTTTCCTCCTATATGCAATCTCTTTTTCTTGTACCTCTTTGTCTTCAGCTCTCTCTTTCTCTAGTTCTTCTCCATTTCTCATTTTTGTTTTTACTTCTATATTTCGCTCCAGTTATTTTACAATTATATATTCTTCTTGTCGATCTATTGTTTTTTATCCTTCCCCGTAACGTCCTCCTAATTCTTCTCGTCGTGTTGTACCTACTTCTTCTGTTTTCTGTCTTTGTCTCCTTATTCCCCCCATGCATCTTGTCGCCGACTGTACAGAAATGTAAGTTCATACAGTGCTCTGCTCTGGGAGCAGTAGTTGAGACTTGTCTGCTGTTGCAGGAACGCACAAACCGTGTTTCTGTCAGAACGGTGGGATGTGCCACCTCAAGAGGAAGGCTTGTCACTGCCTGCCCGGATATTTCGGTCGTCGCTGCGAGCGTGTATCGTGCAAACCCGGATGCATGAATGGAGGGCACTGCCGGGAACCCGACAGATGCGTCTGCCCCCCTGACTACACTGGGCCGCGCTGTCAGAACCGTAAGTGCGACAGTACGAACTACAGTGAAGTCATAGTGCCAAAAGTTAATAATAATAATAATAATAATAATAATACAGAATATTGTGTAGGAAAGGCTTACAGCAAACGTGAAAAAGTGACATAAGGTTAAAAAATATTGGTTTGAAAATCTGAAGGGAAAGGGGCCGTTATTATTAAATTGGATCTTAGAGAATTGGTTTCAAAAGATCGGGCTGGATTTAGCTGACTCAGTAGGCCAGTTTTGTGAACAAAATGATGAATATGTTGATTTCATAAGATAACTTCTTAATAACATGTTGTGATATGGAGTTACCTAGTTAAAAACAGACATACAAATTTGTTTATCTATTTTATGTGTATCCAGTCTACGTAGATCGGTTGATGGAAACAAGAAACACATACGAGCTAATTATGTTAGGAACAGCGCCTTGAAAACCCGACACGTAGACGAGGGACAATATTAAACACTTATGTCCAGAATGTTACTGCTACATCGATTTTCTTCTTTCTTGGACACGAATTTAAGTCAGTTTAATCTAACATATAGAAATAAAAATTAAAAAAAAAACATAATTCTTAGAAGTGTTTAATATCGTCCCTCGTCTACGTGTCGGTGTTTCAAGGCTTAAATTCGTGTCCAAGAAAGAAGAAAGTCGATGTAGCAGTAACATTCTGGACATAACTTCAGAAGGTATCGCTTTCGCATTTCAGCCGATTTACTGATTATTTGGATGGGTTTATTTTTTTGTGGAAATCCAAAGTCATTCTAGGTAAACGCCAGTGATCAGTAGCTGGATTTTTCAGTTTCAATTATATATACAGATTGTCCGGATGAAAGAAATCCAAAATAAAATAATTATATCTCACAAACCATTTACTATACACATGTATGGGTTACACCATTACAAAGGGAAAATATCGTAGCTTTTTCTGAGTATAATTTCTCAGTAAATTTCAATGTGGTCTCCCTTGGTGACACGACAAATATCCAGACGATATTCGACATCGTTCCACGTTGCTTGAAGTATGTTTGGTGTTACGGTTGTCACAGCGTCACTTATGCAGGATTTCAGGCGTCGAAGGCCATTAGAAAATGTTATTCACATAACCCCGCAAGAAAAAATCCAAGAGGGTTAAATCTGGAGGCCAAGTAATTGGTCCACATCTGCCGATCCATCTCCCAGCCATCTCTCTGTCCAGGTGACCCCAAATATGTTGGCAGAAATGTGGCGGCGCCCCATCTTGTTAGAGGATAATTCGAGGAAGTAATTGGGACAGCGCATACAGCTTCAGCAAGTCGAAACACGAACGTCCGGTCACAGTCTTTCCCGAAAAGAGAACTTTCCAATCAATTTGTCCTACATTAATCCGGCCCACACGTTCAATATGGGACTGCATGCCTCCAACTCACATGTGACATGTGGATTTTGACTGCCCCAGATCCTGTAGTTGTACCCGTTTACAACTCCATTGACATGGAACGTCGCTTCCTCCGAGAAGCACACTTGGCGGAGGAAATCGGGTGCTCGTCGATTCTTTCTAGCCTGTCCACAGCGGAGTTGTGCGTGCTACTTGGTCACACGGTTTTAGTGCATGAATCATTCGAATCTTGTACGCTCTTAGATGAAGCCTTTTGTGCAGCACATCGTGTACCGTTGAACGTGAAATTTGTACGTAACTGCCAGCTAGCAGCTCGAATTGATTTGCGCGGACTTCGCAGGAATGCCTCTCTGATGCGATTGACATTTCCTTCAGAGGTCCGTGTCTTTCCGGGAGATTTTACACGCAACAGACAACCTGTAGTCCTCAGTTTATTGTTCCAGAACCGAATGCATTTTCGTGTTGGAGGTTGACGTCCATATTGCTTTCTAAAACGACTATCGGCAGTCGTATGAGATTGCAACTCTGATAGCCACAACATGAATTGAACCTGTTCCTATGGTGTCGAGATCTTTACTGAGCTCGCTAATGGTCACAAGCTGGAGCATGTGCGTAAGCCGGGCATGAAAAGACCTTTCAGGGTCTTCCTTTTCGATAAAATAAACCGGATATGTGTATGACAATTAGTTTCCGGGATATATTTTTTTATTCTGGATACCTTTCATCCTGACACCTTGTATTTTTGATATAAATGAAATGCTTGAGTCCGTCTAGTGGCGTGGTTAAGAATGTGCGTAGCCATGCCTCTATTCCCCATATGTCATCATAGGATTATTCTTAGTTAAGCATAGAGATAAGTTTACTTTAGTTTCGTTCTTAATATACGCAAATAATTTTGTTGTTGCTTAGCACAGTAGATATGGAAAACTGTAAAGGAAAGCTCGTTCAGTATTTAAACCACCGACATTCAAGGACATTTGTAACCGACGCTAAATAATGGCAACTATTCTGTTTAGAGTGCTTCAAGTGATCCTGATGACAGCAAATGGAACGCCTTTTCTCATTTTCTCAGCTCTCTATTGACTGTTTCTCTACAAACTCTCCTTCAGATACCGCTATAAATACTAATCTAATGAGATGGTGACCAAGGCTATCCTTAGCCACAGTTGTCAGGGAAATGACTAATAAAACTCTATTGCTCAATTCCCATCATAGGCGTCTAAAGTTCATTCGTTGTAGGCGGTTGACCCCTATCTCCATCTTTTCGCCCAACTAAACTCTCATGCCTTCGAAATATGGGGGATAATTGTGCTTCAAAGAATTCCCAATAAATTTCAGATATCATTGTACCATCGCAGAAAATCCCACCCCACAAATCTGATGGCTGAAGCCGCGCATTATGAACATACTACCCATGTTTATCTGTGCCGAGACCTTCACTAGGGAGTTGGGATCCTCCGTGGCCCATTATTAGAATACTCAGCCAATAGGCATATTCATAGAGTGAAAATAAGTATGATACATAGAAGAAACTGAGTATTTTCTTTCAAGAATAGCGAATAGACCAGTCATATTCAGTAGACCATCTTTATGCAATATCTGAGGCGCTGGTGCAGCTGAATTATACAGAGAAACATTCTCACTCTTGTTTACAGTGACTTATTAGTCAGTACTTGTTATATAATCAATTGCTGCGACAGACGTTTAATATATTTTAAAGTACTTCGCATAACTGCTTCAGTCATTTGTGTAATATTTCTCATGGATTTCGCTGCCCTCTTTTTACGAAAACACAACGGCAACATACTTCTGGACCAACCTGTTTACTGTTGACCTACTTGTAACTTAGGGGAAACTGAATTCCATGCCGTAATTGTGTTGCACTGAAACTACGTATATTACCAGCAGAATATTATATTTGCATTTTCTGCTTATCTGTGCGCCATCTTACCGTAAAATTATTCAGAAAGCAACCACCCGCAGAGACAGAAGTGTTTAAAGCCGTAAATTCATGATAAGTTGACGTCTGAATTGGTTAGATTTGAACGACTGCATTGAAGACTGCGGAAAAAGTTATTCCTCCACGCCATGGAAATGGAACCAACGACGGAACAAACAATGGAACAAATAATAATCGCTGTATTGAAGCCGACTTCGAAGAAATGAAAGCCGACCGAGAAGAAAGAACGGCAGAAGGGAAAGCCTACCGAGAACAATTGATGGCGTTATTCGGAGCCGATCAAGGAGAGACGAACAGCCTTAAGGAGGGAGCAATGTGACGGAATAATCCATTGCTAGGCATTGACGCTGATCATTCTGAGCCCTTATTTATTTTGATGATTATAGATGACCATGAAATTTATTTCTAATTAATTCTCGGTAATTTAAATTTCAAAAGTCTTATGTTTCGATATTACTGGAAATGTATCGTGATCTATAATATCGTATTTCATCGTCTGGGACGTGCAATACGGTGTTTATGTTGAAAATTTCTAGATTCTGGCAGAAACAAAAAGTCCGGAGTTATGANTTGGTCTCGTGGAAGTTATAAAAGGGAGTTCATTCGTGAAGTCGAGAGATTTTGCGTCTTCACGAATGAANCCCTCGTTGGTGGCTCCAACGTGGTGAGGGGGTTTGAGTATGCCAAGGACCCTGAGAGCTATACCAGCGGTAGCGTAGCTACTGGCAGGGCCTCCCTTGCTGGACAGGTCAAAGGGTAGGCATCAGACGAAGAGAGACACCAAAAACTGATGTCGGAAGCAGCGTCATCAGCAGCGACTTGAAGCACAGAG